GGGCTTTTGGGTCAGGATTAATAATGAAACCTATCATTTTGCATGAATGGGCAAAGTGGCAAATTTAAAGTATGAGTTCACTAACACACTGCACTCATGTAGTCTTCAGGGAAACAGATCGCAAACTGCTAGAAGCAGGCAGCTCCTACATTTGGTTAAGTTCAGTTTGGTTCACCCCTGCACAACATCCCATGTTCATATCTGTCCATTCATCCATCCATTTATTCATTCCTCCATCCATCCCTCTATCCATTTATCCATCCCTGTCCATGTGATCGCAGATAGACAACTATGCAAAGCAGAATGATCTCTTATGGAAGTCTATGGGGATTTCTACGACCAATGGCTCCTTATAGAGTTAAAGTGTACCATCCATCCAATTATGCATTCATCCCTCCATCCACCTAGGTCCATGTGATCCCAGGAAGACAAATGTGGATGTATGTATTATACAAATGTGGATGTATGAAATACAAATGTATTTCTCTGACCACTGGCTCCCCATAGAGTTAAAGTGTACCATCCATCCAATGATCCCTCCATTCATGTCCATGTGATCCCAGGTAGACAACTATGGAAAGCAGAATGCTCTCTTATAGAAGTCTATGGGGATTTCTCCGACCACTGGCTCCCCATAGAGTTAAAGTGTACCATCTAGGGCTGCAGCTAACGATTATTTTCATAATCGATTAGTTAGCCGATTATTAAGTTCGATTAATCGGATAAAAAAAAAAAAAAAGGCTCCAGTGATGGACTACTAGTTTCTATTGAGATTGTAGTCCATCACGGGAGCAAGCTTGGCGCGGTGGAAGTAAAAAAAGAGTGTAGTGTGCAATATAGTACATTATACAGCGGCGCAGTACAGAATACCAGCAGCTATAGAGGAATGTAGCAATAGTACATTATACTATAATGTACTATTGCTGGGATTTGTAATTTTAGCCGACGAATCGACGATGGAAAACGTTGACAACGTTTTCCATCGTCGATTTTAATCGACTTAATCGAATAACTGTTGCAGCTCTAGTACCATCCATCCAATGATCCCTCCCTCCATGTCCATGTGATCCCAGGTAGACAACTATGGAAAGCAGAATGATCTCTTATAGAGGTCTATGGGGATTTCTCTGACCAATGGCTCCTTATAGAGTTATGCATTCATCCATCCATGTCCATGTGATCCCAGACAGCCAACTATGGAAAGCAGAATGATCCCGTGTAGAAGTCTATAGAGATTTCTCTGACCACTGGCTCCTTAAACGAATTATAGTGTAGCCATCCAATTATCCATCCATGTCCATGTGATCTCAGACAGTCAACTAGGAAAGGCAGAATAATCCCTTCTAGTAGTCTATGGGGATTCCTCCAACCACTGACTCCCTATAAAGTGTACCAGCCACCAGTGTTGGAGCAGGAAGATGAAAATGTTGGCCCAGCAGAGGTAGATGTAATGCATGTAATGACATTCCTCGTCCCATGCTGACATTTTTACAGCTCGGGGTTCTTCTTTATGATGTGCAAAGTGTTCAACGTCTTTGTTTTTTTTTCAGTTGAGCGTTAGGCCTCATTCACACACAACGCAAGCAAAATTGTATATTGCGTATATACGAGCGTCTATGCGCATATATACGAGCGTCTATGCACGTATATGCGTGCACTATATGCAATCCCAGAATGCAGCACTCGTAATGGAATTTTTAATGTGCGTATACGTGCTTATATACGCTCTGATATCTGTTTTTGCGCATATATACGCTACGCAAATATACGGCTCCATACGCGGCTATGTGTATGGAGCCATTTATTTGCATGTGTTGCATACGGTACAATACGCACGTACGTGCGTATACGAGCGGAAGTGTGAATGAGGCCTTAAAGTGACGTCACAAAGACCGATCCCCGTCATTTCTATACACCGGTCTCATACTTTTTGTATTCATCTTCTAGGAGTTCACTTCCCGGCCTTAAGCAGCGTGTTCGCTAAGCGAGTCCGTGACAAGGAGCGCGGCTTCTTCTGCAGCTTTGTCGGCTGCGGCTCCCAGTGCGGGTAAGCTGGACCATTGGAATCTGTCTTCTGTCATCTGCGTTTCCTTTTCGGCTTCTCTTACTCTCCGATTCTCAGGACACCGATGTTGTCATTTCTCTTCTAACTACGCTGCGTGCACAATTATTAGGCAAGTTGTAGTTCTGAGGATTCATTTCATTATTGAACAAATCCAGAGCTCTCCGTCGATCCAAAATGTTCATAAAGCTGAATAGTGAAGAAAGTAAAAGTGAGGTTTTGGCTTTCCTAGGAGAATATTTAGGTGAGCACATTTATTGGGCAACTATTAGTGGGCGGGATTATTATACAACTAAAAGGAAAAGGAAAATGTTCCCGTCTCACTTGTTTATTTGTATCTATTACAGTGAGAATAAGAAACAAACAACTCAAAATTTACAAATAAACATTTCTGACATTTTCAAACACAAAATCAGTGACCAATATATCCAATACCGGTCCTCAGCCCCCCATCCATGGAGTCTGCCAGTCCTCAGCCCCCCATCCATGGAGTCTGCCAGTCCTCAGCCCCCCATCCATGGGGTCTGCCAGTCCTCAGCCCCCCATCCATGGGGTCTGCCAGTCCTCAGCCCCCCATCCATGGAGTCTGCCAGTCCTCAGCCCCCCATCCATGGGGTCTGCCAGTCCTCAGCCCCCCATCCATGGGGTCTGTCAGTTTCTTCATCTGTTGACCATCAACTTTATGTGCAGCAGCAACCACGGCCCCCCAGACACAGTTCAGAGAAGTGCACTGTTTTCCTTCACCGTAAATCTCCCGTACAACAAGTTCTCAATAGGGTTTAGGTCAGGTGAGGAAGGCGGCCATGTCATTATTCTTTCATCTTTAAGACCTTCACTGGCTAGCCACGCAGTGGAGGACTTGGATGCATGCAATGGAGCATTGTCCTGTATACATACCATGGGCAGACTTTTTCCTGGACCACGGCTTGAAGAAAGTGTCTTCTAAAAACTGGCAGCAGGTTTGGGAGTTGATTTTGAGTCCATCTTCAACCCGAAAAGGTCCAACTAGCTGATCTTTAATAATACCACCAGTACCCCACCTCCACCTTGCTGGCGTCTGAGTGGAAGTGGAGCTCTGTGCCCAATACTGATCCAGCCACGGGCCCATCAAGAGTCACTCTCATCTCATCAGTCCATAAAACCTTTGAGAAGTCTTCAGATATTTCTTGGCACCGTCTTGACGTTTCAACTTCTGTGTCCTGTTCAGTGGTGGTCGGGTTTCAGCCTTCCTTACCTTAGCCATGTCTCTGAGCACTGAACACCTTGTACCTCTGGGCCCTCCAGGTAGGTTGCAGTTCTGGAATATGACAGCACTGGAGGATGATGGGTTCCTGGGAGCTTCACGTTTCATTCTTCTCAAATCTTTGCCAGTTCATTTGCGTCTTTCTTTTCCAGCACGTTTCTTGCAACACTGTAGACTATTTGCAACAAACCGTTTGATGGTTCTGTGATCATGGCCCAATATCTTAGCAAGAGTGCCGCATCCCTCTGAAAGATTTTTGACTTTTCAGAATCAGTTAAATCTCTTTTTTGGCCCATTGTGCCAGAGGAAAAGAAGCTGCCTAATCATTATGCACACCTTGATATTGAGCGTTGATCTCCTAAGGCCACACCCTCCCTCATTATACAAACGCACATCACCCGATATGCTGACATCCAATAAGTCTTCACGTTTTTACAGCTTGGCGTTAGGACAATATGCATAAAAATGGTGATTTGGTCAAAATACTCACTTGCCTAATAATTGTGCACACACTGTATGTTATTTGAATGTGAGAGGAGGAGGTGTTCTGTAGTCCTTTTCAAGGATGACTCCTCTATAAAGTAGCATGAGTGAGTGTTGTCACCCTAGGACAGGAAGTGTCCTAGGAAGTTTCCTAGCATCACTAGGAAACAAATGCAGCCGCCACACCTAAGGACTGGTAAGCCGAAATATTGTGTGTTTATCGCCGCATTCTCTTTCTCTCGCTGCTGCAGGACACTGCTGATTGGAGGAGCTGGTTCTCTTCTTCAGGACTGGTACGGCTGGGAGTATGTTTTTTATTTTGCCGGATTCCTCGCCCTGGCCTGGACCTACTGCCTGGGCACCTACATACTGAAGGAGAAAAGTAAGTCACTTGAGGTTCCTCCTGAGTTGGAGTGATAAAAGGAAACCTGGAGTTTGAATGGCAATTGATGGTCCCAGTCAACCATGTCTCTAGTTTTGGATGGAGCGAGGCAGGGCTGGGACCTCTGTTGGGATTTTGCTGACTGTGTCCCCAATGAGGAGAATTACCCCCTCTCTTTGTAGGTATCTATTTAGGTAGGTCCTCATTATGGATGAGCTCAGGTTTGGACTGGACCCGCTCTGAACCTGAGCCCCTCTAAGGAAGGAAGTGCCATGGGACCAACCTCCCAACCAGCTGCGGCCAGGGCATTTCCCGCCCCACAGCTGCACATAAAGGAGTTGTGATGCTTGTGTTGACCTTATATGGCAACATAGACCTTATATGGCCATATTAGGTAAATGTCATTGACCAAATATAGCCATGTGGCCATATAAGGTCAATACCATCACTGCATCCCGCACTTTGCTTACATGCAGCTGCGGGTGAGGAATTCCCTGGCCTCAGCTGATTGGGTGGCAGTGGAAGGAGTTTTCGGAGCTCAGGTTTGGCCTGGGTTCGCTCCAAACCTGAGCTCAACCCTAGTCCTCATATTACATAGGTTTGGTAGATCTAAATTTGATTGTATGGTCAGACTGCAAAGTGTATGGCGAGCCTAAATCTGCCATCGACAGCTTTCTTTAGTACCACTGCCCTAAAAAATGCCACTTTTGAATTGTGAAAAGAACGGGGCCCCCTGGTACTTGGATGCAGCAAAGTTCAGGACGCCTATGTCCAATCAGACCATGATAAGTAAAAGAAGATGGAGGTTAATGGGTGAGATATGAGTCCGCTGCTCCATGTAATTATTATTTCTTCTTTCTCAGACAAATTTTTGTTCTCTGACCTGAGCAGAAGCTTCACTACATCGGCCAAGACCAACATACCCTGGAGACACCTCCTGAAGAAGGCTCCCGTCTGGTACGTGTATATATAGACTCAATTTCCTGCACACACTCCCACAAATATAAAAAAAAAACAACCACGCCCCCCGTGAGAGCGCTGTAAAACAGGACATATCTGTCAATTTTCCATAGACTAGCCTACTGGAAACCCTTCCACCTATCATAGCGCTTCTCTAAAGCAAAGCTATCACCAACCTGGGACTTTCAAATTGTAGATCAGGGGTGGGCAACCCTAGGCACTCTGGCTGTTGAGGAACTACAAGTCCCATGAGGTATTGCAAGACTCTGACAGGCATGACTTACATGCATACAAAGGGGCGGGTTGCAGTGATGTTGTCAGGCTTATATGGCCACATGGCTATATTCGGTCAATGCCATTTACCCAATAAGGCCATGTAAGGTCAATGATGTCAGCGCCTGCATCACAACCCCTTTATGTGCAGCTGTGGGGTGGGAAATCCCCTGACCGCAGCTGATTGAGCAGGACTTACTTGCTTAGAGGAGATCAGGTTCAGACCAGGTCCAGTCCAAACCTGAGCTTATCCCCAATGAGGACCTACCTAGATTATCCAATAATTTTGGCTCTTTCACTATATACTCGTTGGTAGAGCTAAGAGAGATTGTACAATCGGTTTATAACGTGTGTGGTGAGCTTAAAGGGGACTGTACAATTTGGATTGTAACTTGGGTGGTGAGCTTAAAGGGGACTGTACAATTTGGATTGTAACGTGTGTGGTTGGCTTTAATTATTGCTGACAGTCTCATTGTGCAAACCCACGGAGTCGCTGATTGTAATTGTAACTCTTACCTGTTGTATCCTTAGGGCTGTGATAGTCGGGCAGGTCAGCGTAGCCAGCAGCGCCTTCACCCTCTTCTCTTGGGTGCCAATCTTCTTCAAGAATCGATTCCCCGAGTCCAAGGTGAGCAACGTGCCAGAAAATCTAATATCCGAGCCGGTTAAAGTTTGGAAGTTGCATTCTGTGATCGCCATGTGCCACCTTCTGGCCGAATGTTAGAACTGCGCCCTCAATTTAAAGGAGAACCCCAGTCTAAGCTCTTGGGTTTCTCGCTGCACATCTGCTCAGATATCTAAGTATAACCTATGGCCGTTTTGCTCTGTTTCTACAGCTTTCAGTCTGCACAGCTGGTTGGCAAATCAGGAACACAGAAGAAAGTGTTGTCTGTGTCACCCTGCTTTAATATTGGTTGTCAGTGGGAGCTGAAGTGCATTGAAGCACGTAGATGTGAATGGGCCCCGATTTGTTTATCACATAAATGGCTTTTTGTGGTAATTTTTAGGGGCAATACATGGCAGAGTTCTGTTTTAATACAACTTGAAATCTCTTAAAGCAATGATGCCGAGAACCATGCAGTTGCAGCTTTTGCCTGTTGCAGTCATTCAATTAACTCCTCATTGACCAACAAAGACAACACGGCTATGCCCCGGGATGACTCTCTTCCTCTTCTTTTCCAGGGCTTGGTATTCAATGTAGTGCCTTGGCTCATTGCCATTCCAGCTGCTTTAATGAGCGGCCGCCTAACAGACCACCTCATTAAAACAGGTAAGACCTCCAGTGCTTTAAAGAGGACCTGTCAGTGTGGTAAATGACCGAGTCAGAGACCACCTGGCTGTCAATGTGTTAGGTGACCAAGTTGGAGACCTCCCAGCCTTCAATGTATTGAGTAACCATGTTAGAGACTTCCCAACCATCAGTGTGGTGAGTGACGGAGTCAGAAACCTCCTAGCTGTCAATGTGCTAAGTGACCATATAGGAGACCTCCTGGCCATTATCATGTTAAGTGACCCTGTTGGAGACCTCCCGCCCGTCATTGTGTTAATTGTCCATGTTAGAGACCCCCTGGCTATCACTGTGCTAAGTGACCACGTTGGAAACTTCCCAGCTGTCAATGTATTAAGTGACCATGTTAGAGACCTCCCAGCTGTTAGTGGTAAGTGACCATGTTAGAGACCTCCCAGCTGTTAGTGGTAAGTGACCATGTTAGAGACCTCCCAGCTGTTAGTGGTAAGTGACCATGTTAGAGACCTCCCTGCCGTCAGTGCGTTAATTGACCATGTTAGAGACCTGGCCATCAGTGTGCTAAGTGACCTTGTTGGAAACCTCGTGGCCATCAGTGTGCTAAGTAACTATGTTAGAGACCTCCCAGCTGTCAGCGGTAAGTGACCACATTGGAGACCTCCTGACTGTCAACGTATTAAGTAACCAAGTCAGATTGACCCTCGGCTGCAGTCTGGTATTGGTATTGGCAATCTGATGGGTAGAAGATTGGGATAAACGCCAGGCAAGCAGCATTTTCAGAATGGGAGGCTGCAAAAGCCTCCGATCAGGTGAAGAAATAATCCCAATGAAAGTTCCCTGCAATAGAAGAAACATTATCCTCACCTCTCCATTGGCCCGTGTCTTCCACCTCCCCTCTGTTGTGGCCCTGCAGCCTCTGTCAGACTCTTCAGCATTATACCCACCTCTCCATTGGCCCATGTCTCTCATCTCCCCTCTGTTGTGGACCTGCAGCCTCTGTCAGACTCTTCAGCTTTCGGTGCTTCTAGGACTGTCAGACCCTCTGTGCCCCCCTTCTCATGCTATGGTTCCTTCCTCCAACCTCCTACAACAGTGTAGTAACATAGGGATCAGAGGACTGAACCATGGCGCAGCTTGGGGGACACATGCACTCAGTGAAGTGTTGAATAGCAAAGAGTCTTATGAAGGCTGCAGCTCTGGAATGGAGGGGAGGTAGAAGACCTGGGCCACCAAAGAGGTGAATGTCACACATCTCCTATTGAAGGGTTTATTTTATAACCTGACAGGGTCACTTTAGGAGATCTCATAGACCCATTGACATCAACCCCTGACATAAAGAAGCTTACAATCTACCTATTCATGCTGGATTTATACATTGAGTCAATCTGGGCTAAATCCATTTAGAGGACTGTGATAGGACACGGGGGGACAGTATAGACTCCAAGCAGATAGTGTTCCTGGTGGGATTTGAAGGTAGAACCCCAGCACTGCAAGACAGATGACCACTAAGCTCTACTGTATGAAGATGCCATTGGTCTTCTGAGATGTACAAGTGACTCCGCCTCTCTTCTCTTCACTAGGATATAAACCCATCTTTGTGCGGAAGCTCATGGAGGTACCAATATACCGTTATTTGCTATATAGACCAACGCAGCTTAATTCCCCCCTCCTAACAGTCCCTATTGTCTCTGCAGGTTATAGGAATGGGAATGTCCAGCATCTTCATCTTCCTGCTGGGACAATCTGGAAGCTTCAGCCAAGCCATGGTCTTTATCTCAGTGGCAGTGGCCCTGCAAACCTTCAACCATAGGTGAGGACAGCTGCTGCGATTGGACCGTGCAAGGTCACATGATTTACTGAATTTTGGCTATTGGGAGGACAAACATTAAAAAATGCTCATGCTTATTTCATCCCAGTACCGGCCACACTTCCCAGTAACATCCTCTTTAGATGCCCCAAGTATTTTTCCTGTTATGTTATATTCTGCAATTTTGGAATAAGCAGTTTAATGATAATTCTCTATATATCCATCTATTTCTCAGCGGCTTAACCATCAACATTCAGGACCTTGCTCCATCCTGCTCTGGATTCCTGTTTGGTGAGTACATACTGAGTATTGATGATTATGGGCTGGACCAGCCTGTGACCCATCAGAGCCTTAGAACATGCATAGGACTGGATCAGCTTGTAGCCAATCAGAGCCTTAGAACATGCATAGGACTGGATCAGCTCGTAGCCAAGCAGAGCCTTAGAACATGAATAGGACTGGATCAGCCTGTAGCCAAGCAGAGCCTTAGAACATGCATAGGACTGGATCAGCTTGTAGCCAAGCAGAGCCTTAGAACATGCATAGGACTGGATCAGCTTGTAGCTAATCAGAGCCTTAGAACATGCATAGAACTGGATCAGCTTGTAGCCAATCAGAGCCTTAGAACATGCATAGGACTGGATCAGCTTGTATCCAGTCAAAATCTTAGAACATGTATAGGACTGGATCAGCTTGTAGCCAATCAGAGCCTTAGAACATGCATATGACTGGAACAGCTTGTACCTAACCAGAGCCTTAGAACATGCATAGGACTGGATCAGCTTGTAGCCAATCGGAGCCTTAGAACATGCATAGGACTGGATCAGCTTGTACCTAACCAGAGCCTTGGAACATGCATAGGACTGGATCAGCTTGTAGCCAATCAGAGCTTTAGAACATGCATAGAACTGGATCAGCTTGTAGCCAACCGGAGTCTTAGAACACCCACAAAGCACAACATTGGAACAAAGACACTACAAAGGGACTAGAGAGGGGATGAGTGGATAAAAAGACATTATTGGGTATTCCCAATTTTTAGATACAACATTGTAACAATCACAACATTGGGCCGGCTGGTATCAAATAGAAGTTCTGGAATCAATATTGTGCCGGTATTGTGACAGCACTGTTGCCAGCTCATTGACCAACACTTAGCCCTTTTATGTGTGAAGTTGCCATCTTAGGATCATTTCTTTCCTGGTGGAGTTATATGCTCTCCTATATTCGTATTCGCTTCCTCCCGCCATTTAAAAGCACCGTAAGCTTCTCCATGTCAGGGACTAATGGGCATGCTTGTGTTTATTGTGTCAGTATTTTATAAACCAGTCCAAGAAATAATCCCCCTCCACTCTTGTATTTTTAGGAGTGGCCAACACCGGCGGCTCTGTGTTTGGTAAGTTGTAAAGCGGTTCCTGGTTTTTACCAGCATAATAGTTGCTTGTATATACAATGTCTGCCACAAGAGGGCACTGTGACCTGACAAGTGATCGTGTAATGTTAGAGAATCCTTACAATGTATTTCAACTCAAGAGCAATGTCCCCATATAATAATTTTGTATTCCCAATATAAGAACTGGGAGGGCTATTCTATAGTCCTAACATATTCCCTGTTCCAGGATGACAACATTGCTCCTCCATAGAGACAGTATGACAAGTAAGTGTTGTCACCCGAGGACAGGAAGTGTCTTACTGGCAGGATCACCAGTTGAACATAAAGGAAAAAAAGGCTATATTAAAATATATATATATATATATCTATATATAGATATATATAGATATATATATCTATATATAGATATATATATAGATATCTTTTATATGATTTAATAGTTTGGAGTACCTAACATTTTAGGTCAGCTTGTTATAATTTTAACGTTAACCCATATCCTTAGGATGCCGTAGTGCCTAAAACATCCCGTGCGGATTGCTCCTGGTATCCAGGTTGCAGCTGATATTTTCCAGTGCAGTTGAGTTGCCACGAGCAACAAGACAAGCTCAATGTATTTCCCTAGGTCTGATTTTTGGAAGTGTACTGTGATCCATGCTTTGACTCTTCACTAATGTTGTGTCTCTGGCCTAGGAATCCTCTGGGTCTACCTCTCTGGCTACCTCCTTGACGTCACCGGGTCTTGGGATTCCATGTTCCACCTGCTGGTTGCTGTGAATGTGTTGGGTCTACTCTTTTATCTGGAGTTTGCCAAAACTGAGAGGATGGACATCGACAGCGCTCTTCCTGTCCTCAGGATCTAGATGTTGAAGAACCGTCCCCTTATCCTGGAGGTGGTCATCACTTTGGAGGAATGTTCGGGATTGGGCCTTCAGAGGTCTCTTGGTGCAACCTAAAGATGGCCAATGCTTTGGAAATGGTGAATGAGACCCAAGGACATCCTGGTGAAGACCTGAGCAAGACCCAGTCATCGAGAGCCCTCTTCCTGTCCTCAGGATCTAGAAGTTTAGGAACCGTCCCCTTACCCAGAAGGTGACCATACCTTTTTGGAGGAAGTGTTCAGCATGTGGCCTTCGGAGGTCTCGTGGTGCAACCTAAAGATGGTCAATGCTTGGGAAATGGTGATTGAGACCCAAAGGCATCCTGGAGAAGACCTGAGCAGGACCCAGTCTAGGTCAAGAATCTCCGATTTGAGATTAAAAAGATATCCGACGCTTCAGAAAAGACCTTGGACTGAGATTTGCAGATGGAAATCTCAAATCTCAGTCTTGGAGGTCTCAGGTTTGGACCTCTCAACAGATGATACCTCAGAGGAATTCTCAGTTTGAGACCTGAAGATGAATTACACCTAGGAGGTGGCCTCAAATGACGACCAGTCTAAAGTCTATGGAGATGCCTCCCTATTGGGTTATTGCACCACCAAGAACCAAATCACCGTTGGAGACGTTCTAACCATTATGTAGTCCTACAAGATCCAATCTGTTGAAGGTTCCACAACGACAACCCAAACTGACACCTCCATAAGCTGTTGAGTACCGTCCATATCTCCAGTAAGGATCCTATGTGTGAGCCAGAAGAGATTACAAATGTCCCCATGATATTGAAGGCTGATGCCCCATATGAGCCATTTTAATATTCTAATTTATTTAACACTAGAGAGGACTTTTTGTGTCAGATATAGACACACACACACACACACACACGTGCAATTGGCAATTCAATGCAAATGTATTAAAACCCTAATAAAATGTTTAATGTTATGTCCTTGTTTTTAAAGGGTCAACCTAAAGGACCAACCATGGGTCAACTTTTTGTAAATGTTTTCTCTTTTCTTTTTTTTTTATATTCTAATATAACGGAGAGGGTGGACATTGAGTACTTCCTGTTGTGTCGCCTGGACAGGAAGTGAAGGGAAGTCTCCCCGACGGGGACGCAAGCTAGAAAAGGCGGGGTTTTTAACCCTTTCCAACCTATCCGAGACGAGAGATATGGCTAGGGATCTTGGATAGAGGAAAGGTGAAGACAGAGACCCCCTAGACCAGGGGTAGCCAACTCTGGTCCTCCAGCTGTTTTGGAACTACAAGTCCCATGGGTCATTGCAAGACTGACAGGTACAGGCATGACTCCCAGAAGCATGATGGGGTTTGTAGTTAAAGCACAGCTGGAGGGCCGGTGTCGCCCACCCCTGGCCTAGGCACAGGTACCCTACGCTAATCCAGGAACCTACACAGTGTAAGGCTCTGGCCGGAGGTCCTCTTATGTTGTCACCTCCAGGCACGTTGGGAGGTCTGATGATGTGACACAGATTGATGCCTTGCTCTTCTTCAACCCCGGTACTTGCAGATCTCTACCCTCCAGCCTCCACTATGATCTGACTCCATATGGCTGTGCTCTTGCCCACCGTATGGAAGAGGCCGCGGCTCTGAGGATGAGCTAATGTAAGCCTATGGCTCGCTCCCAAAGGCCTGCGCCCCGTGCCAAGTGGACAGATGGCGTTAAGCACTTCACTCTCGTCCTGTCACTTGGACCCCGAGCCGTCTGTGCGCTCCCGCGTCCCGTGTACGGCTTGGCAGTGAAGGGCGGCTGCTGGTTGGGCGATAAAGACGGACGGTGGCTCGCGGACGGAACCGGGAGGCTGCTGCAGGAAGAGCGTCGAGCAGATGTTGAGCCGCAGCCGCCTGGCTCTGAAAGCCTTGTGTCTGCACCGCTCCACCTGCGACGAGGCGCAGTGCGCGGGCTCAACCGTACTCCTGCTGCTTCTGCAGGGGGAAATTCTGCTGCGTGACCTTGAAGCCGCCATCATCTGCTCACAGCTCCGGGCGCCCACGCTCCGCTCTCTGCCTTCTATACGATGTTAGTTGGTTTGGATCACTGTGCCCTCCGTCATGTGCTTGCATGTAGCATATATATGACATTGTTACACCTAAAACATACTTAGAATATTTCTCCAGCCCATTCCCCCCCCCCGCCCACTTCCTGTCCCCATGACACCAGACAGGAAGTAAAGGAAAATCTGCAGCAGGTGCACAGACGGCAGTTAATAGCTTTGAATGGGAGCCAATATTTCTAATATGCTGTGTATACATAAACCCTGTATAGGAAAGCATCATTCACTTCCTTTGGGCCCAGGTCAGCCTGTGACTGGACAGCAAGAGGAGAAGCAGCACAGTGATTAGCTCATCTCTCTGCCACTCTTCTCTCTCCTCCTATTGGCATGCTCTTTGTCAGAACATGAGCTGACTGGCTCCTTGTGTGTGCAACAGGGACACAGGTGGCAATTAATATCTGTGAACAGGAGGCATCATATTTTACTTAAGATGATAGTACGCTGTGTATTCATAAATAAACCTTTTATAGCAGTGTTAGGCAAACTCTGGTCCTCCAGCTGTGGTGGAACTACAAATACCATCATGCTTCTGGGAGGCATGCCTGTGGCTGTCAGAGTCTTGCAATGCCTCATGGCAGGGGTGTCCCGAGGCTGGGTGTCACCCGGGGGCGGAGACCAGGTGACACCCCGCCGTGACGTCATTGCGCATGCAAGGTGGTCTTTTTGACGCCTGCCGGCGGCCATCTTGGTGATGGACGCCGGCAGAGAGAGTAGGGGACGTTCACCCGGCAGGATGAGGTATGCCACCGGGTCCCCTCCTGTATTGTGACACTGTCAGGCTCTCGGTCCATGCCGCACCCCCCTTGTGACGCCACTGCCTCATAGGTCTTGTAGTTCAACAACAGCTGGAGTGCCGAGGTTGCCTTCCCCTCCTTTAGTCATTCTGTAGCAGGGGTAGACAACCTTGGCACTGGAACTACAAATCCCATGAGGCATTGCAAGACTCTGACAGGCACAGGCATGACTCCTAGAGGCAGAGACATTATGGGATTTGTAGTTCTATAACAGCTGGAGTGTTGAGGTGCCTACCTCTAATTCATAGGCTGTTACCAGTGTTGGCGGGGTCACAACAGTAACTTCATTACATGTAAGAAATAAAAACCTTTATCCAAAATGTAAAAAATGTGTCTAGAGCTAGGCTTTAACGGCGATCCGGAAGGTCAGCATGGCAGCCGGACACCTAGCATTTTCACAACAGCAATGGTGGTCTTCACGCCCCCTGATAAAAGGCTGCCAAGGTTTTCTGATGTAGCTCGCAGTCCAACGGGCAGGTCAGGGAGACCTGACAACGCTGCTACGAAATCCAAGCCACCAGCATAGCGTTGTCAGCCGCAGACAGGAAGTGCTGTTACTGGCAGGATCTCCACATAAGAAACTTTGCAACACAATTACAAGAAACATTTGCTTAACAACACTGGCATGGTGCCAAAGATCCTGAAAAACACTTCAAAGATCCATTTTGTAGCTTCGGGGGGTCCCCAGATGGCGTTGGCAGCGCCTCAATTGCTCTTGATGTCTTGAGTGTCCCTTTAACATTCCCCCCTTCGAGAGATGAAAGTTGTCTTGACCGGAGAGCTTGCATTCTGTGCCCCCTCTCCTCATTCCTCCCTCCGTCTCTCAGTTTTGGAAGAGAAGAGCCCGGGGCTACATTCTTCTTGTCGTTACAAAGGACCCCTTCCTGACGTGCGTTTGATTTGTAGTCTGACGAAAGGGTTGTCTCTATTATGTTTAATTGAAAAGAACTGCATGAATATTCAATGCGGGCCCATTCTGTGGCATTCCAGCGATGCCATGACATCCCGCAAGTTCTTTCCTGACTCACAGCTAGGAGGCCTGTCAGAGCCGCGATGACAGCAGGAAAGCCATTAATTGAAATAGCTTCATTAATTAGTAATTAACAGCGGGGTAATGACTATGTCACATATCGTATTTCAGCCAGTGCCCTTCATGTGTTACGCTGCCTTTAATTAAAGAATGTGCATTTTAATTAAAAGCCAACTTTGGCCCGTGGCCTTTGGAAGGAGCCGGCAAAGTTTGGTGCGAGGCTCTGCCGGTTTGATGAGGGCATGATGAAACAGACAATTGGTTCACCTGATCCCAGAAATGAGGAAACATTCGTCTCAAAGACATAGAGGGAGTGTTGCCATGATCGGGGCAAGCGGGACGCATTTGTAAGAGACCCATAAGCATCCTGCTTTATGTACCGACCAGCCAAATGGTCTTCAGCTGCCCTGGGACCAGTTCTCCACTCGAGCATTTACATAGATAGATATAAAGAGAGCCGTATGGTTGGGGATATATAAGAATGGCGCGGTAAGGATAAGGACATGGTTGAGGATATAGGCATTGTAGTTAAAGACATGGCTGGGTATATAGAAGTTTGATTGGCTATAGATAAAGGTGTGGTTGGGGAGATATAAGTATGGCGGAGTGTAGATAGAGGCATTGCTGGGGACATATAGCTATTGCGGAGTATACATAGGGGCATGGTTCGGGATATTTAAGCGTGGCAGGGTGTAGATAGAGTCATGGTTGGGGATATATAGATATGGCTGGGCGTATATAGAGGCATGGTTCTGGATATGTAAGCATGGCAGGGAATTGATTTAAGGTTGGAGATACAGTATATAGGTATGTGGGGGTATAGAGTCATGGTTGGAGATATATAAGTATGGCGGGGTATAGAGTCATGGTTGGAGATATATAAGTATGAGCGGGGTATAGAGTCATGGTTGGAGATATACAAGTATGGCGGGGTATAGAGTCATGGTTGGAGATATACAAGTATGGCGGGGTGTAGATAGAGGCATAGTTGGAGATATATAAGTATGGCGGGGTATAGAGTCATGGTTGGAGATATATAAGTATGCCTGGGTATAGAGTCATGGTTGGAGATATATAAGTATGGCTGGGTATAGAGTCATGGTTGGAGATATATAAGTATGGCGGGGT